TCCCTTGAGGAATATCCAACTGACTGTTTAGGCCTGATTCCAGTAGGGTTGGACCTAAATGGGCAGTCAGACATCCCTCTCACAGTCCAGGACTGCTGGCTCCCAACTGCTTGTCTGCCTGCCTTCCTGATTGCCCCTAACCACTTCTGCCTGCCAGCCTGATCACCCCCTAATCACTCCCCTGCCAGCCTGATTGCCCCTAACTTCCCTCCCCTGCAGGCCTGGTCACCCCTACCTACTCTCCCCTGGAGGTCTGGGTCCCCCTGCAACTGCCCTTCCCTGCTGGCCTAAGTCACCCCCAACTTCCTTCCTCTGCCAGCATGGCCATCCCTAACTGCCATCCTTTGCCAGCCAGGTCACCCCTAACTGCCTTCCTCTGCTGGCCTGGTCACCCTCCTCAACTGCCCTCCACCCCTGCAGGCCTGGGTCCCCCCATCAACTGCCCTCCCCTGCAGGCCTGGTCACCCCCAACTGCCCTTTCCTGCAGGCTTGGTCACCTCTAATTGCCCTCCCCTGCAGGCCTGGTCCCCCCCAATTGCCCTGCCCTGCTGGCCTCAATGCCAACAACTACCCTCCCCTGCTGGCCATCTTGCGGTGACCATCTTGTGTCCACATGGGGGCAGCCATCTTTGACCACAGAGCAGCCTTCTTGTGTGTTGGAGTGTTGATCAATTTGCATATTACTCTTTTATTAGACAGGATTAATATATTATTTTCTATATGAACTATAAACCTACTTTTGCCTATCCCTGTATACCCAAGAAATGAAAACATATGTCCACACAAATATTTGCATGTGAATGTTCATTGCAGCATTATTCCTAACAGCCCAAAAGTGGAAACAACCTATGTGCCCATCAACTGATGAGTGATGAATATAATGTGGTATAGTCACACAATGGACCATTATTCCACCATAGAAAGGAATGTAGCACACATGCTCTAACACAGATGAACCTTGAAAACATTATGTTAAGTGAAAGAAACTTGTAACAAAGGACCATGTAATGCATGATGAATGGACAGATCTATGGAGATGTAGTGTTATTTGTGGTTGCCTGGGGCTGGTGGAAGTGGGGTGGGGTGGGGAGTGATGGCTAAGGAGAGTGGAGTTTACTTTTGGGATAATAAAAATGCTCTAAAATTAAGTATGGCACTAGATGCACAACTCTGAATGTACTAAAGCTATTTACTTGTATACTTTAAATGGCTGAATTGTCATAGTATGTGAACTATACTTTAATAATGTTTTAAAAAACACACAGCATCTTAGATTGTAGTGATGGCTAGACAACTTAAAAATTTTGCTGGAAAAACCCCCACTGAATTGCATACTTAAATTCACATCGGTGAATTTTATGGTATCTAAATTATACCTGGATACAGCAGAAAAGTATAATAGTTTTTAACCTGACTTAACCATTTTTTAATGATTCAGGATCAACATTGTGACTACTAATTATTTTGCACAGAAACTGAGAAGGAATTGGAATTTCCTTGCCCTTGTAATTTTTAGTCAGTGTCTTTTTGGGATATACACTCAGTGGCCAGATTATTATGATCTGTGAACGCATAATAATCTGGCCACTAAGAGTGTGTGTGTGTGTGTGTGTGTGTGTGTGTGTGTGTGTATATATATATATATATATATATATATATATATATATATATATATATATGAAGCCTGGTGCATGAATTCGTGCATGGGTGGGATCCGGCCAGCCTGGCCAGGGGGAGGGGACATGGGTGGTTGGTGGGTCTGCCTGCTGGTCAAACTCCATGGTCAAGGGGACAGTTTGTATATTAGCCTTTTATTATATAGGATATACACTGAGTGGCCAGATTATTATGTGTTTAGAGATCATAATAATCTGGCCACTCAGTGTATATCTACACTAATAAAATAGAAACACGTAAACTGACTGTCACTTCATGATGCCCATCAGCCAATCAGGGGTGAGTATGCAAATTAAGCTGACAAAGGTGGCAGCAACCCCACACCTCAGCTTCTGGCCAGCACAAATGCAGGCATGGAGCGTCTGGGCAGGGCAGGATGCCTGCCATGAGGGGGAGGGAGGAGGGAGCTACAGGAGTGATGTTCTGGCAGAGCGAAGACTGAAGGCTCTTGCCGGAGAGAAAATGGAAGGGGGCAGCCAGAGCGAAGGCCTGGGTCCCAGGTGCCAGAGAAAAACTGGTGCCAGCAACCGGGGGAAGGAAGGTCTATTGCACAAATCTTTGTGCAACAGGCCTCTAGTGTGTGTGTGTGTTGTATGTGTGTGTGTGTATATCAGGGCCCTTAGTACCTAAGGGGGTGGGTGGGGCTTAGCTCCCAGCTGCACTGCTTCCCTCTTCTCCATCATTTTACTAAGATATGCTTTGCTAGTGTCATGCATCAGGTTACTCAGGTTATTTCTTTTAATTATTCAAGTGAAGTTGATGAATCCTCAAGAGACTAAGGCAGCAAGTGGTGCTGTCATAACTGCCAGGGACCCCATACCTAGGACAGCTGTGGGATGCTGCACCTCTTCTAGAAACAATTCACCGAGGATATATTATTCCCACCAGCTGTCTAACCACCCACTCTTCCCTCATTCCGTTGGGTAGCTGTGGGAATTGCTCTTTCAGAATTTGAGATGAGCTAGCTTGTACCATTTGTACTTCCTGTTTGTCTCCTGCAGTCTACTGGAAAATAGAGTTAGTTGGATCCTCTTGCTATGATTTTATCCATTTAATCCAAGTCCTATAATAGCTAGTCTTTAGTGGGCATGCTTCACATGTGTATGTATTGAGGAAAACTTAAAGGCCTTTGTTACTCGGTATTCTATCAGATAATGAGGTTAACTGATGGCAGCTTGAATCAGTCAATGGCCATTAGTTAGCCTGTTATTCAGAGTACCATTAGGAACATAGCCAAACTTGTCTGCCTCTCTCTCTGAGCTAGAGTGCCAGAGTAAACCTTCCTTTGCCACTGGTGACAAGGTCCTCCCTGAGTCTACAACTCCCTACGAAGCAAAATTCCCCTCTGGTTAACAGAATTGCTGGATAAAAAATCCAGAAATGCCAATTCGAAATGACTTCCATTATGAATAGCTTACAAACTGGCTTGTCTTTTATTGCAGCTACTAAATCATGGCGGAGAAGGGCAAGAGAAAGAATTTCAGAAACAACTGCCTTAAATTTTTATTTTCCCAGAGAGGTTTCTGTGATCTCTTTATTAGACACAATATGTGTCAGCTATTCAACTCATAAAAAAAGGAGCGAAACATGCCAGGAAAAGGAGAAATATTTTCTGTTTCTCCCTTCCTGTGAAAACTTTGAATGAGCTCATCTGGGTTCTCTCCTTTCAATGAAAGCTATGCTCATCCCTCAGCCCTCCATCTCCTCCTCATTCTCCATTGATGATGTCAGGCAGGCCTTATGGTATCTTTTTTGTGATCTTATAAAATCAATGACAACCAAAAACATTTCCCTTCTGGGCATGACTTCATCAATGTCCCACACCTGCACAGGCTCATCTGCATTGGTAAGTAGAGCTAAACTCCACTGATCCAGACTGAAGCAATTTACCAGGATACTCCTGCTTTCCTTCAAAACGCTGCCCACACCATTCAGACTGGGAAGATTTCTGAGCAACCTAGTCGAGTGTTGGATCTGACTAGTCAAGATGGCTCTCCACTGTGCTTATCTTTGTACACACCAGAAACTCTCCTTTACTTAGTACTGTTTTTGCCCTGGACACAAAGTAATCGATACCTCAAAATGTTAGGTAGGTGACATTTTGATGATATTCTTATACCCCTTCCTCCACTCTACTGTATGTTAGTCTCATCTATATTCTGAGCAGTGAAACGGGCATTCCATTAAGTCAGTTTAGGACAGAAAGGAATTTTGGGCCACTGGATCTGCATGGCTGTGAGTGTCCTGAACCAGGGAGATAGATAGGGAAACATCTCCACGTCGAGAACACTCGCCAAGTACTTTCAAAGCGCTGAGACTTAGAAGATAAAATCATTACATAATGGATGAGTTTGCGGAGAAGTAAAAGGCACAAAAGACAATATCTTACAGGTCCAAGGAGAGTAGAGAAAGGAAGGTTTGACTGCATTGGCAAGTCTGAAATGAAATGGCGTTTAAATGTTTAAATAAAAATTGTGGAGAGAGTAGCACTGGCCCTACAATGCATTGGAGAGGCAGAAGTGTCAATTCACTCAAGTCAGAGGATGGGGCAGAGGAGAAGTCTAGCTGTGGACCAGGGAGAGCTCACCAGGCCTCCCTTTCTGTGGTCCATGTGAAATATGCCTTGCCACTAGCCACCTCCCTTGCTCTGAATCCAGGTACTCCAACCACTTTTCAGATGGCTATTCAATCTTCCAGTTGATACCGAGACATGGAGAGGTTGAGAGACACACACTACATAGGCACTCTACAAAGGGCTCTTGAAAAGAATATTCCCTACTGCAAAAATAACTTGGCTTTTGTTTGCTCATTATTCTCACAATAATAATAATAGCTGATAAATATTGAGTGCTTGCTATAGGCTCGGCACAATTACAAGCATTTTACATGTGAATGCATTAAGTCTCCATCAGAACTCTCCAGGTCAAGCACTATTATTATCACCATTTTACAAATAAAGAAACCGAGTGAGAGAATATAAAGAAGTTGCTCAGGGTTACATAGCTAGGAAGTGACAGAGCCAGGATTCAAATCCAGACTATGAGGCTCCAGAGCCCGCAGGCTTAATTGCCATGCTATGCTTGCTCCTGTGAATTATTATGAACAAATTTCCCTGCATCTGGTCAACTCAGGTGCATTGGCAAGACCAAAGTCCATACATTCCTTACAAAATCATGGGGACACCTCAGCACTTTGAACCTCAAAACATCCCCCCTTCAACCCCCCCACTGCTCCTTTGGGTCTACATTCCCAATGAACTGAAGGTAAAAAACAAAACAAAACAAAAAACAACAACAAAAAACACTCTGCAATGTCATTAAAAGCACAGAAGCACAGAGATTTACCATGAGGAACTGATTGCAAGTGAGCGAAACCAGCTTCTAAGTTCATACTTGAAAAATTTCAGTGTGAAGGCTTCTAGTGAAAAATACGTGGAAGCGAAGTTGAGCTAATGTTTTACACATTTTAGAATTGCTCTCAGGATGTGTTTCATTTTAGAAAAGCTCGAGAAAAAACAGAAAACATTTATGGAGTGTGAACTATGTGCCTGGCATTGGGCTAAGTGCCTTTTCACACGTGTAACCTTATTTAACATCACAACAATCCTGTAAAATATTATTAATTTCATTTTTATGGATGAGAACAAAGACCCAATGAGGTTTTACACTTTGTTCGAGATCACACAGCTAATAAGCATTATAATTGGTAATCAAACTTAAAAATCGACACTCCCCTCTCCCCAATTTGGGTTATTTTAGGTTATATGTTATACAGTGCTATGCAGAATATTGATGTCATTTGAAGGAAATCATAATCTCTTGATTCTCAGTAGCCATGAATGCATCTATTGCTTTCGCTAGTCTGTAAGCATTATGGGGCAAACTCGGGTCTTACTTATTGTTACATGTTAATAATACTTGGTGGAGAGTATGCTCAGAACAGTAGCTGGTGAGCCCCTTAATACTGTGAGTGTAGACACTGACACAGGGATAGATGATAATCCCAGGTAAAGATACAAATACAAGCTTAAGGCAAAGTATACGTCTGAGCCTTAATTTTTTGAGGCCCTGTGAGGCAGATTTGCCAGTAGACCTGCACAGACCCCACCACTGCAGCACAGGATGCAGCGCCCCAAGTCCTGGGGTGGGGTCTGTGATTTACCTCACCAGGCAGCCCCTCTCTCCCCCTTCCCTGGTGCCTCTCTGGCTGCTGTCTCACTTCCTTGGCTTTGAACCTTTTGGCAGCCTCCAATAGCTCCTCTTCAAAGAGCTGAAGACAAGCCTGATGTTTCAATTGCCTTGCTTAATTCTAGGCAGGTTTCCATTAATCGTATTAAATGCAGGTGAACAAAGGGCATTGAGTTTGTGACAGAGCTGAACGGTATCTGGATAAACATAAACAAGAGAGGTAATCCCCCAAGAGCCACTGTTTGCCCTCAATTGGAAGGATGTCAGCAGTGCCCCTGCTAAGGGAGGTTGGAGGGTGGGAGGCAGAAGAGATTTAACAAGACTGGTGCTGAGCATCTGGACTCTGTATTAAAGAGGGGAATAAAGCTTGTGACTGGAATACATTAGGAGAAACGCAAATGTTCTATTCACACACACACACATACACAAATTGGCATTCATAATATCAGCCTTTAATCTACTCAAGGCTCCTTAGCTTGCCTTATTCATTGCTGACTTTCATCTTCTCTGCAAAGCCTCTTGCAAAAGGGCCCTTCTCAGATCAGCTTTAGGTCACAGGGGCAGAAATACTGTTGCTGAACTGATATGCCAGGGAGGAGCATGTGTGACTGGAAAACAGTATGACAACATAATCCCAGCATGGACTGCTGAGATCAGTGTGGGGTGATGTTGGCTTTTCTAGCATCTACTGAATCATCTGTTGGAAGCAACAATTGAAAAGAATAAAAACAAACACATGCAACATCCGGCCACGAAGACTGCCTGGCCCATGTCTGAGAAAAAGGATCTAGTTTGGGTAGGATCAGGTGGGAGATGGAGGGAGCAATGAGCTGGGAGTTAGGAGACCTCAGTTTGCTTCTTCTCTCCCTCTGGCTGAGTGGCTGGGTGACTTCAGGTTGCCTGGCCTCTGAGAAATGAGGACACTGGTTCAACTGGTCTGAATCAAAAGTTTTCTTTAGTTTCAAAGGCAAGGATTTGTCTTATATAAAAGAGGTTTTATAGAAGTGCACTGTAAGACCACAATCTTGAAGACACTGTAATCTGAATCTTGATTTTCTTAACTCACCCTGTTTAGAATGTTTTGCATAACATTGGTGGGCAAAGGAAGAGCATTGGCAGGTGCATTAGAGCAAGAGGTTGAACAAAACAACACAAAACAAAACAGAATCAGAACACTACTGGCTCACACTGTGACCACAGAATTCCAATCCCCCGTGGGTCTTAAAGTCTTCTTTGCAACGGGTGTAACAAGGAGAAATGACAGGATCCCAAAAGAGCAGTCAATAATCTTAGGTCACAATTACGTTTCCCAACATGCTACTTACTTGTGCACATCTTGTTTTCTCATGTTCTTTCTGTCTGGAACATTTCCCCTATCTCTGTTTATAAAAATTCCACTCGTTCTAACTCTAAGACCTCCCGGATGGAATGAAGTGTCTTTGCACACTCTTTGGTTATCACTTAGAATACTTATTTTCATTTACCTCATACTATACATCACCCCCCTTTAACTATAATTACAGATTATTAGCTTCTGGAAGGCAGGGCACGGATCTCATTTATCTATGTGTCCCTGGTTCTGCTTGGCACATTGGAGGCACCCACCCAATAACGATTTCTGAATTGAACTGAACAGGGATTTCCACATTACCTGCTAATGTTACGGCAATGGAGACAGAGTCATATCCCAAGGCATTGGTGGCATTACAAGTGTAGAAACCCACATCAGCTTCCACTGGTGCCAGAATCTGCAAGGAATCATCTGGTTGTAGAAGAATCCTGGAACAGCAGAAAGAAAAAGGCAGGCCAGGTCAGTAGAGTCCTTTTTGGAAATAAATATTGGTAAAGCAGGAGGGAACCCAAGGAACATTCAGAATCCTGTTTTAACAAAATGGAACTCAGGAACCCAGGCTCTCTTTCCTCTGTGATTGCTGTGATTCTGGTAGCAACCCCGAATAAGGAGGTTTTGACTGCTTGCACTACTTGTTGACTACTTGATCTAAATGCTACCAGTTGGAGCAGTCAGCACATATGTACTAAATAAATGAGAGAGAGTCATCAATCAGCTGCCTCCTGCACACCCCTACCAGGTATACAGAATACACCTCAGGGGTAAGAGGGGAGGGAGAATGAATGCTGCAGATGGGTCCAGGGAAGTATTAGGGAAAAGGAAGTGTTACAAAGGAGCAATGGGGCTTAGTTGGATGGGAGAAAGTAGATAGAGCTTCCAGATATGAAGAAAGGCATCTGTTAAGGCTTGGAGAAGGGAGAGAGGAAGGCAAAAATCAAATATCAATGAGAGGATCTTGATGTGTACTTTGGAAGGCAATTATATATGTAATTACCTCTCTGTTTCAGGTAGTCTTATGTCCATCTATTGCCTTCACTAGTCTGCAAACATTATTAGCTCAAAACTCAGATCTTACTTATTATTTTAGTTCCCACAACATTTGGCAGAGGGCCCTCTGTAGAGAAGGTGCCCAGTAGAATGAAGGCAACGCCTGCCCTTTGGGGTCACGTAGACCATTCCAGAATAATCACTAGTTCAGACTCTTTGCTTTACTTGAAAAGAATAAAATTGTGGGTGTACCATGGACTTCAAAACCCATTCCAACCTCAGTCTCCTACTTTTTCTTCTTTTGAATTAGACCACTTACAAAAAATACTACATCATGGCAGTGAGGCAGATCAATGATTAAGGATGACTTAAAGCTGATATCTTGGTGACTTGGTGAGACTGATGATAACTGATGAAATGTGTTTGTGGAGGTGAGGATCCAGAGGGCAGTAGAGGAGGACACTGTGGGAAGCTCAGAGATCAAGTACTCAGACCTGGCAGGGCCTTAGGTTGATAAATCATTCAACAGCACAGAAATGATTTAGAGTTTGATTTTGCACTCTTAGAGTCAGTCACTTCTACCTTCATGATTATTTTCAACTCCCCAGTTTCAAAAAGTTCAAAGATATGGTTGCCTAATAAATTAATATCCATCCTTAGAATACAAGCAGGTAACAGGGGTTGTTTTTCAGGAAAGGGGAAAAAAACCCCATAAAATTCTCAGGAGAACTCACAAGTCTTGGTGATAAAATGAAGACAAGGAGTTGGCTCTCCTGCCTTAGCAACACATTCTCCCCGCTTGACAATTCTTTTCTTTCTTCAGTATTGCTCTAGACTCTATGTCATTTGCAGTTTGGCACAGCCTCTAGTGAGCTCCTAATTTTTCTGAGGTGGCTGAAAAGTCTGGCATCAAATCAGGCCCCCTCAGAACTACTTTTGGCTTTGGGCCTATTGCATTGCTTATTCTTTTTTCTTTCTTTTTGCATTGCTTATTGTTGCCTCCTATCTCAGGGAAGGCAGGGAAGAGAAAAAGCAAGGCTTACATCAATTTTCAATCTAGTTACCTACAGCAGCTGCAATAAAAAAATGGGGAAGGAAATATCAATAGAAAACCGTGGATGGTTTGTGTTTGCTTTAGCGCCATTCCAGACCATCACTGTGATTACTGGGGGCAGTCAAGCTATTGCGGCACTGAACCAGAGCTGAGGGATGGCAGAGAGGCCAGAAGAGAGTGTGATAGCACTCATCCAGCCATTCGTCACTCATCCATCAGCTAGGTGTTTTGTCTCAAAGAATCACATATTCATTGTTAGTTTATTTCAAAGGAACTAATAACAGAAAGGTGACTATACAATTTACTTATCTTTGGTAAGCCATGTAATATTTAAGTAATAATATCACTGTGTCCTAAAGGTATCCTAACAGATATAATAGTGTATTATTTCCAAATCTCATTAGATGTTCAGGCTGTCTTAGATTTGAAAAATTACAAATTGACTTTATTATTCAAAACTTTATGATGTCCCAGGAACATGTATGCCTCCATAACAATTTCCAAATAAAATACAGACAGCAGGTTTAGGCAATTTTTTTAAATATATATTTTATTGATATTTTACAGAGAGAAAGGGAGAGAGATAGAGAGCTAGAAACATCGATGAGAGAGAAACATCGACCAGCTGCCTCTTGCACACCCCCTACCGGGGATGTGCCCGCAACCAATGTACATGCCCTTGACCGGAATCGAACCCGGGACCTTTCAGTCCGCAGACCGACGCTCTATCACTGAGCCAAACCGGTTTTGGCAGGTTTAGGCAAATTTAAATATGATTGACTACTCAGGATAATAGAACTTAGTAGATAATGGTTCAATTTTATCACACTCGAAAGGCATGGATTAAAATTCGTTAAATTCCCAAGTCCGCCAGGACAGTTGCACCCCCCGCCCCCCCAAACTGGCACTCTCTTTCTCCACTACAGAAAGAGTTCTTGAACTAAACATTCAGAGCAGGTCTACTGAACTTTATTTTGGTCCAGCTATGATTTATGTAATCACCATTGGCAAATCCCTTCACCTTCCCGCATTTCAGTTTATCAATGTCTAAAACCCAGTTGAAGTATGTTTTCCTACTCAGCAGAGGGAACTGTTAAAATGAGCTTGATAAGGTACTTCCAGACCATCTTTTGGTATTTCAATGACCCTTCCACTGATAGTGTCGGACACTCTGAATGGAGGCTTACCAGTGGGGAGGGGCTGGAGATGAGGATATTTTTTGAGAAAGGAGCAAGAGAGGCACATGATATTGGCCAATTTCTCCCTGGACATCTAATTAGATCTTCATATTCATAGATCATGGTTTTTCCCATAGAATGACTGACTTTGCGTGATCGCATGAGGAGGATGTAAACCCTTCTCCCCCACTGGGCCTGAACCAATTATGGTTTTCAGTGGGTATTAGCATTTGTAGCTGCATGAGTTCCTCCAGGCCCTCATGTTACTGGGTGAGCCACAATGTTTTCTGCCTAATGCCTGGAGAAGATTGCATTGTTGGCAAGGAGAAGGAAGGAGATCCATGACACCAGGCACAAAACCGTAAGTGTCTGAGCTAGGATGGGAATAGCGGAAATGGAAAGGAATCTGGGTCTTGAGACCAGCATTTGTATATTCTTTTATTCTGTAAACTGTCTATACAAAGATAAAAAAGCTTAAGTATCTGTCTTCATAAAAACAGTTTTAAATATTGTCTTAAGACAAAATCTACATGGGACAAAATCTAAATTTGTCATGTACTGCATATACTCAAATTATTTATATTCACAGAACTGAACTCATTAGCTCGAGAGTCCGTAGTAATTTGATGGCAGAGTCAGGATTTGAAATAAGGTTTCTTGGACCAGCACTTTTCCTCCAATCTATCATGTCTTTAACATTCCCATAAAACTGATAGATGGGGGTTTGGAAGCTGCCACTAGTGGGAGCAAGAGTTCTGAAGCGGGTATCTATGCAGGGCTCTCTAGGAAACATGACAAGGCAAAGGAAAGGGCTTGTTGTGAGAGTGAGGTTTGCTGTAGGTTATCTATCCTGGCATCTACGGAGAGAGCTTCCTGAAAAAAACATACATTTCCTTTATACTTCAGGCATGTACTCTATTAATTTAACTTAATTTGTTAGTAGCTGACTTCTGTCAGCTTGTGTTTAGGCTTTGAGTTTACAGGACTGTTTCAGAACGCACAGGCACAGAAATGTGGTGCCGCTTTCCAAGCAAAACCAGAAAAGATTTCTCTGGGGTTGTTTTGGAATTTAAGGAATCAGAGAATGAGGGGTCATGGAATGGGGCCTAATTAAAACCTACATAGCAAATGGTACTGTGGTCACATTAAGTATATTAATACTCGCTGCTTTCTTCCCATCCCCACACCACACGTTCCTTTTGGTTTACTGATCTAAAACTTAATGCTTCATTTCTTTGGTCATCCTTTTAACCTGAAAATTCTGGAGCCGTTTTGCTTCTCTAGTGGCTTTTATTAGTAAGCTTCTAAGCACGACTTCTCAAACACTCTAAATAAGGAGCTGTTGAGAGAGTACAAAGAATTGTTTTAGTTACACAAGTAAAACCCTCATTCTCCATGTGAGTAGGATATGAGCAAAGAGCCTGTGGGCCAGTCCTACCAAGTACAAGATCCTTGGGGTGAAGTTGTTCCTCTGCATTTGTAATGTACAACGAGAAAGCGCTCTTGTTTGAAAAGAAGGCAGCTCTGAGTGTCCAAAGGAAAGTTTATAAACATTCTGTGAGTGGCGTGGCATCATGATACCCTCTGAACCCTTGGTTCAACTGTGAACATTGCTGTCTTGGGCAGGCCCACTTCTCATGTGGCTTCCATGACCAACCACAGAAGCTGCTTTGGAGGGGAAGCCTTCCTGACATCACTCAAGAGACGTGGAGTCATGGCCTCATCTTGGGTAAGCCTGTCAACTCTGTGAGCCTCTTAGTCCCTTCTGCAGATTTAGAATAATACTGACCTCAAAGAGATCTCATGAGGATCAAACAAAGAAGTACACAGACTCATTCTTACTGCTTTCTAAGTAAAAAGGCTTAAATGTCAGATGCATCTAAAAAATAATATATCTTAGTGGTACAGGTCGTGGTATCCCATGTTACTATCTTGGAATTTCTCTTTGAAATTTCCAGTTGTCAGAGGAAAATTTCAAACACTGGACCCAGAAATACCCATCTGCTGCATGGGCCATGATTTTGTACCATCTCAAGCCTCTCCCCCTAACAAGTAAGCATTCTAAATTTTAGGCCTCAGTACAGGACTGGAAGCTGGAAATCATAGGTATATCCTTCCTCTCTATAGCTATTTTCATCAGTTCCAAGTTACTTGCCCTATAGTCCAACACAAACTTATCTCTCTAGTCAAAATGGCACCGTTGACTCTCCTTGTTACTAACTAGATTGGAGTTGAATTCATGCTCTTTCTCCTGTCTATACTTTCACATTCTTCCATCCCTTAAGGACAAGTTCAAGTTCTACTTCCTGTGTTACCATAGCCCACAAGAATATCTCCCTTTCCTGATCTGGCAGAGTTGTTCTGAGCTGTAATACAGAGCCCTTTCCATTCTACAATGTCTCATTTCTTCAGTTAGATTGTAAACTAAAGGCCCCTGGACTGGAGCTATTTTACTTCTTTCATAGTTCCTTCTTTAGTATTCAGCAAAATTCTGGCATGCTGAATAAATACTCAATGGATGCTGGTTTGGTTACCTTCAGAATAGTGGAGCTAAAACAATCACACTGACAATATAAGCATACTGGCTAAGAGCAGACTGAAGGGCCATAATGGCTGAATTCCAGCCCCAGGTGTACCACTTTCCAGCTGTGTAACCTTGGGCATGTAATTTACCTAAGTTCTCAGAGAGACAGTTTCCTCATTCATAGAAGGTGGAAACCAATAGCACCTATCTAGGGTTGCTGGGAATATTCTACATGACTTCAGGTATTTTAAGAACACAAAAAAGTGTCTGACCTATGGTTAAAAAATGTAGAAGTGCAGGTTATTATTATTCTCTTGTTGATGTCATCATCAGCACTGCCATTCACCCTTCATGTCTGAGCCTATGTATGCTGGCTGTTGTGAGAAACATTTAAAAATGTATTTTTAAATTAATTTCAGAGAGGAAGGGAGAGGGAGAGAGAGACAGAAACATCAATAACGAGAGAGAATAATTCATCGGCTGCCTCCTGCACCTCCCACACTAGGGATGGAGCCCGCAACTCAGGCATGTGCCCTGACCAGGAACTGAACTGTGTCCTCCTGGTTATCAGACAACGCTCAACCACTAAGCTTCACTAGCTGGGAAGAAACTGTTTGACATAGGTAAAACTTGGGAAATGTAGGGGTTCCAAGGACAAAACTGGCAAATGCAGAAGTGGGCAGGGGACAAGGGGTTTGCTGTGGGAGGAAGTGAAGGGGGAGACATGATGCATCTACCTTGGTGGTAGCACTGGGAGTGGAAAAAGTGGGGCAGAGGCTGGGGCCACATGGCACACTGACTGGGCTGGCAACGGCCTCAGTTCTATTCTTGACTCAGGAATCTCTGAATAAGGACAACTACTTTTTTCCATAACTGTATTAACATTATTAACCAAATACTGAAATCTTAGAACACAGAGAGAAAAAGCCAGAATCCTGTAATTGCAAAAATGTACATAAATAAGTGTTAAAAAATAAGAGTTGGAAAAAAGTAATTTTGGAAGCAAATAAGCAAAGTGAAGGGAGGCTGTGCAAAGAACATCAGTTCCAAACTCCTAGGAGGTGCTGTTGAGGACTTTTCCTTACAATAAAATGCAGATTTATTTATTTTTCCTGCTTAGGGACTCGTTAGGTAGGGACAATCAAATCTGCCACAGGAAAGAGAGTAGGAACCAATATTTGTTAGACCAGTGTATACAAGCTTTAGATAATTTTATTCTATCATGATACTAGGGTGACATTATCCTCCCATTACAGAGAGGAAGCTAAAGCTCTGAGAAATAACTTGCTCAGCTAGTGCACAGGGTGGAATAATCAGGAATCAGGAATGACCTTTGACCTTTAAAAAAAACAAAACTGATTACATCCAGGCATCCATTGGGGCCTAATAGGAAGGCATGTGGTTTGGCTTCACTTTTGGTGGGGGCAATTTGTGCCAAGGTTTGCAGCTCCTTAGGGAAATGGACGATCACTACCAAGAATATTCTGGATTTTAAATGATTGGAAGGCATGTGGTTTGGCCTCATTTTTGGTTGGGGGCAATTTGTGCCAAGGTTTGTAGTTACTTAGGGAAATGGACAATCACTAAAAAGAATATTGTAGATTTTAAATAGTTTGAGGTTGAAGGGGAAAAAATGCTGTGAGAAGAACTCCTCTACAAGCAAGAATTTTTTTTCTCTGAAACCAGAAATTATAGTAGCCCAGAGACTTGCAAGGGAGAGTTTTCTTTTGTGCAGATATTTTGGGGAACAGATTTGAGGTTCAGGAAGAGTTTCATATCACCATTTGGCTAGGGCAACTTTTTACAACTTTGGCTGTTTTTAATGTAATCGCCAACTAAAAGTTATTTAATGCCGGAAGCTTCATGATTGCTCCAGGTGGAAGTATAGAAAATATTTTTGGAATGGGAAAGGCCACCTGACCACACATTCTTAACCCTGTCCTAATACTGCTTGCCAAACTGTTCAGCTTCCTTCTCTTCAGAAATTCATGAAGTCTTGGATTTGCTAATATGGGTTTTTATCTGTTTACTGGGTAGTTCATTTCAAACTACAAACCTCTGCATAAAATGACTGATGCAGGGCATGGATCATCAGACTCCAGTCAGCTGTCAGCTGTGTTTGTAAATAATTTTATTAGAATGCAGCCACATTAGTTTCAGTATTTTCTCTCTTTTTAAATAATATACTAGAGGCCCAGTGCACTATTTTGTGCATCAGTGAAGTCCCTTGGCCTTGCCTGTGGGATCAGGCAGAAACTGGTTCTCTGACATTCCCTGAGGGGTCCCTGATTACACCTGGTAAAATCAGGTGCATGACCAGACCTGGAGAGATGCAGGAGGTTGGTCAGCCAGGCAGGGATTGCAGGAGGCTCTAGTTCTCAACCTTTCTAATACCCCGACTCTTTAATACAGTTCCTCATGTTGTGGTGTCCCCCAACCATAAAATTATTTTCGTTCTTAGGCTCTATAGCAGCAGTTCTTAAGGGTCGTGACCCACAGGTTGAGAACTGCTAGCAGGGTTGCCTAAGACCATCGGAAAACACAGATATTCACATTATAATTCATAATAGTAGCAAAATTACAGTTATGAAGTAGCAACGAAAATAATTTTATGGTTGGGGGTCACTGCAACATGAGGAACTGTATTAAAGGGTCACAGCATTAGAAAGATTGAGAACCACTATTCTAGGGCAGTGTTTCCCAACCTTCTCTCATGATGAGAATCACCTGGTGGAGTTGTTAAACCACAGATTCCTGAATCCCAACTAAGAAGTGCTAAACTAGAATTTTTGGGAACATATAGGTAAAATTGTATACTTAACTAGTGCTCTAAGACAGATTTTATATACAGAGCACTAAGTTAGGTATGCAATTTTACCTATATGTTCTCAAAAATTCTAGTTTAGCACTTCTTAGTTGGGATTCAGGAATCTGTGGTTTAACAACTCCACCAGGTGATTCTCATCATGAGAGAAGGTTGGGAAACACTGTTCCAGGGCATGTCTGGCCCATCTCAGTCCCAGTCGACTGGACCCGGTAGCAAGCTACTCTACCAGTTGAGTGTCTAGCCCCTGGTGATCAGTGCACATCATAGCAACTGGTCAACTGTCTGATCCCTGGTGGCCTTAGCATATCATTAGCATATTACTTTGATCGGTTGAATGGCACCCTGGACACTTAGCATATTAGTTTTTTATTATATAGGATATTTTAATTGATTTTTAGAGAGGGAGGGAGGTGGAGAAAGAGAAAGGAAGGAACATTAATGTGAGAAAGAAATATCAAAACATCCCATAGATACTCCCAATGGGGCTTGAACCTGCAAGCTTAGTTATGTTCCCTGACGGGGAATCAAATCCATGACCTTCCCATGCATGGGATAAAACTCCACTCAACTGGCCACCTGGCCAAGGCCAGTGTTAGTATTTTCTCTGGCCGCTGTTGTGCTTCTGTGGCAGACCTGAGTGGCTGAGCTAGAGATAGGACGGCTAAAGAGTTTCAAATGTTTACTTTCTGGCTCTTTTCAAGAAAAATGTGCTGTCCCTAACCTAGAACATGGAGGAATTTCCACTTGTGGTTTATTTCAGTGCTTTCCTCATTTATGACAAAAATGTTAATGACTTTTTCGGAATGCTGCCATTTGCTAGGACCATTTTTTCTGGAAAGAATAAGTGAACTGCTTAGGGGACCTTTGGAGACCTACTAGGCTTTCAGAGACCAGCTAGTGCCTGACTCTGAGCTCCACCTGTGCTGCCCAATGGCCACTGATTGTCACATGTCCTCAGATGCTCTCTGATGCCTGGTTAACCCTGGTCATTTCTGTGACCTTTGCCTTCACTCTTCTCTCCTTTTTTTTTTTTGCTGAAGCTTATTATTTACTGGGATGGTTCCTTCCCCCCCCTCCACCCCCCATTGCTATTCTTACACTTTTCAGCTGGGAAAAACATTTGTCATCCCCATTTCCTTTAGTTCTATAAAGGAAACAAGCCAAAGCAAATTGAAACTTGTTTCTTCTTCCTTCCCTATCTGCCCTGCCTGCGAAATTTATAGTATCTGCAAACTTGAGAACTGCATTTCGTGTGCTTATGACTTATCCATCTAGCATTATTCACAACTGCAGTGCTGAAATTGACCCTGGGGGCAATTCCCATCCGATGCTCTCTTCTAGTCTGAGAAGTTTCCATCTGTGGATACTCTGTGTTGCC